CCATCCCCCAGCCCGTCATGAGTTGGCCTTGAGCATCTCATGCAAGCGCGGGGCTCACCCCAGGGCCACCCCTTTGGCCCCGGGTGGGCACGGCGCGCCCCTGCCTGCATCCCTCCCGCTCCTCCCCGCCGCCGCCCCGCTGCGTGTCGCCGGCGTGCACGCCACGCCCGCCCCCGCGCCGGCCCCCGTCCGTCCTGGAGAGCCCAAAGAGTCAATCTCGGCCGCCACGCGCCGCCCTCCCATCTCGTACGGGACGTCATCATGTGAGGTTTATCGACTGCCGGAGCCGCGTGCTGCCGCGTGCCCCCGCGGTGCCCAAGGCCCCCCTGCCTCCGGGCTCGGCCCGGCCGAGGGCCCGGCCTTGGCGGCGGTCCCGTGCCGGCGCGGCGGTGGCGGTCCTTCGGGGCTCCTTACGGCCCCCGTGTGTACTCACGTCTTGGATAATCTCGATCGGCGTCGTAAATCGCGGTGCTGGCCTTGGCCTGCTGCATGCGAGCCCCTCTCTCGCTCTTCCAGGTTGACGCGTCCGCGGGGTTGACACACCGGGGGGTGACGGGGCCGCGCACGAACGGCATGTCAACGCGGCAGAGGGTGGCCTAGGTCGACACTTGTGACGCGGACCAGACACATGATCTCACGTATGCGCTGTCGCCATGCGCAGCGCGGGCGACACCCTGGACATCCTGCTGGTGGGCGGGATGGACTGCAGACACGTGCTCAAGACCCTCAGCCGCCTGCACTGCCACGCGGACGCCCTCGGCGAGCAGCCCGACCACGCCGGCGACGCCAGCCGGACGCGGCGACGCCGGGTGCGCTTCTTCGTCGCCGAGACCGTCATGGAGCTAGTGGCCCGTCAGCTGCTGTTCATCCTGGCCGCCCTGGAGCCCCCCGACCGCCTGGGCAGGACCGAGAAGGTCCGCCTGCTGATGGAGCTGTTCGGCAACGCGCTCGTGCGCCCGAGCACGGCGCTGTGGCTCCGGCACGCCTCCCGCGCTCTCGTCGACCTCGTGACGGACGACTCGGCGCTGCGCCGCCGCCTGCCGCTCGTCGACCTGAGCCACCTCCGCCACCGGGACCGGGACCGCCTCGAGGAGGTGCTCGCTTTCTACCAGGAGCGGCCTCAGGCCTTCCGCGTCGGCTACCACTGGGACCAGAGGCTGCGGCGCCACCTCGCCGTGCGGTACGACAGCCGCGCCGGCGTCTTCGACTGGGACTACTACATGGTGCTCAAGGACCTCGAGGGCGGCGAAAAGGTCTGCGTCCACGAGTACCGTCACTGGAGGTGAGGATGGGGCAATATTTGGAGACTAAAAAGCTTTTTACTCAAATATTTAAAACCAATAGAAATAAAGTTTTCTACAGAATTTTTCAATTTGTATGGAAGGTTTTAGAAAATGTCAGTGGTTTTGAATGTTAGAAAGGCTGTCTCGTCACTGTGACACTCTGCATTCTGCAGAGAGACCGGGGTAGCGTTCACGTGGCTGGAGACGGAGCAGACCGAGCCCAACCTCTCGCTGGCGGCTGGCATAGTGCGCGAGGGCTCGCATCTCCTGCACGGCGGCTACTTGGGCGACATTGTCACCTCGCCCTTCATCGCCTTCTCCGTCGAGGTAAAAGCTGCGCACGGCTGCGCACCTTCACAGCTGAACGTGTTTACACGCGGTGGTGCGTCGGTCTGTCGCAGCTGGAGCCCGAGGACGCAGCTGACATCTTCCGCAAGGCCAACGACCAGTACGTGAGCAGGTCGACGGACGCGGCGGAGCGCCACCTGGAGAGGATCACCCACGAGCTTCAGCACCAGCGTCCCTACCACCCCGTCAAGTACGGAAACGAAACAAGTACAAGTGCAAACTCGATAGAGAACGGAGGCGAGAACGAAGCTCCTTCAAATCGACCTTCTTGGCTGTGCTAGGGACGGGACCAGGGACGACGGCGGCGTGATCCTGACCCGCGTGACGGACGAGCGGCGCCTGAACCCGGAGGTGCCACCGGACGAGGACGACGCCACCCTGCGCAAGGCGCAACGGGCAAGTGACATGATGAGCTACTCGTCGCTGCCCGTCGAGGACGCCGAGGTAAGAGCCATAAGAAGTTATAACTTCATCTACTTAATGTGTAAAAACTTGCGACTTTTTAAAACGATTCCTCCCCCCACCCTCCCACAAAAAATAAAACGTTGCATATTTAATAAATTAATGTTTTACAAAAACAAGATCTTTAGTCCCCACTCTTCTTCCAACAGGTGGTGTTCCTGTCACCGCGGTTCCTGCAGGCGCCGGTCGAGGGCCGCGCGCGCTACAAGGGCCGCTTCCACGCCGCCGTGCTCGGCCTGGGGCTCGGGGAGCGCCACCTGGACCGCGCGCTCGTCGGCGTCCTCGCCCCGGGGGCCGTGGTGCTCGTCGAGGGCCCCCGCTTCCTGATGCAGCGCGCCGAGGCCCGCCAGCAGGCCGCGGGCGAACTCTTGCAGCGCGCGCGCGACGCGGGGCTCGCGCCTCTGAAGCCCTTCCACCCCGACAAGGACGACTACGCCAAGTTCGTGCTGGACGCGGGCTGACTGCCGCGTGCTGGGGCGTCGTGCCACCCCCAAGGCCCTGGCCCTGAACCACCACCTCTGTAGCGGGCCTGGGAGGGGCTGCCCGTCGACGGCGCGAGGCTCTCAGAGCGGGGCGAGCGCTGCCCCGCAGGCGGTGCGATCGCGACTACGCAGCGCTCGCACAGCTCGCGGAGCCTCGTTCGTCATTTAGGGGCGGGCCCCTCCCCATGCTCCATTCAGGAGCCCCTGCTACTTCTAGTCAATAGTGAGCCTGTCCCTACGACGGGCCTGCGCTGCGTCGTGAGGCGCGTCATTCACACTGCCTGTTCTATGTTTCCTTTTATCTTTATGTAATAAATAAAACACTGGTGTTTTTAACCGTTTACACGATAAACCCAGCAAATCTTTCCAGTTGACCCCGTTTTATAGGGTCACTATTCACCTTAGCGCAGAGTTGTCACATTGTCACGGAGACAGCGATAGTCCGGGGGCGGGGCGCTCGACAGCCACGCTATGCGCTGCTTCTAAATCGAGGCTTTCCGGGGCGTGGCGTGGCGTGGCGCTTTGCTCATGGCCATGGAAAACTAAATGCAGAGAACTACTGAATTCATGTCGGAGTGAGTGAGCAAAGTCTGGGAATCCGCACCCAACGCTTTCTCATGGCAGAGCGGGCCACCACCGGCCCCGGCGCGACTGGTAGTGCCACCGTCTGAGTCTGAGTCGCTCGTTATAACTTATGGCGTACTTACCATTCATTCAAATGATCGCCTTGCTTTATCACAAAAAAATATGTAGAAGGTCGATCCAACCTGACCCATCCAAGTACTACTGGTGATTTGACATGTCTTATCCAATTATCCAGTATACAAGGCACTTTTCTTACCGCGATGAAGATAATAGCAAACAACTAGAAGTAGTTTTATATGTGGCTCAGACTTGTCACGAGTCCAGATAATTGCCCCTCGAATTGGTGCATGAAGAGGCATGCATTCAGAAAGACTACAAAAATGCTCGTATTCCTTTCCCCCCTCGCCAGTTAAGCTGTGATAGCGCGACGGTGACGACGACGACTGCAGCGGTATTCATCCCGTACCCCCTCATCACAGAGGAGCAATCCTCGCGAGTCGACACGCATCCTTCTCGTCCACGGCGTGCGGCTCCGGTGCTCTTCGGCATTGGCCTCAGTGAGGCGCACACGCCGCGCCTCAGATCCTGTTCATCCGTGCCACCGCCGCGATAATGCTCCACGAGAAGCCTCATTTGGAAAAAAAAATATTTTAAAAAACGCTAAAAAAAAAATGGTGGGTTTTTTGGGTACTCCACACAGGCCTGCCC